TTCTCTAGAGGAATGTGATGACGCGGTTCCACTGTCCAGAAATTTTATCCCCATTTAAATAGAACAAATAATAAATCCCTTCGAACCGAGTTTGTTTCTGAAAATTCCTTTAGAGATAATTTATCAGTCATATAAGTGAGCGTACGAACTTAATACGAAACATTTAACAACATTTACAAATCTAATAATGAGTAGTTAACTTCTAAGAATAATATAATAAACATCCCGCATGTTCCTCCAAAATTGTTTCATGTACATATTATGCTCAACATTTCAACTGTGAAGCGTTGACAGCCATGGGCAGGGTTATAATGCACGCAATCGTCGATTAGTTTGGACCTGTTCTTAGAAGCAAGGGAGCATTCATTTCACGGTAGCGGTCTGTGTTGATTTTCTACGACATTCGTACCTTCCCGGTCTCGTCACCTTAAAAATCACATAACTTTTTTTGCTGTCGTGTGAGTATCAAGCCTGAGAGAATAACCTGGAGTTGTTCAGGGTTGAAAGTCTTTCACATTTTTTTCATTTCCCGGTTCCTGTGTTATGCATGCTTACATTATATAATTGTTCAAGTTCTTATTTGTGAAGTTAGTTCACAATCCCTTTCATATAATGCCTGAATAGGTTATTGGTAGTGCATTATTCGATTGGAGAATAATTTAGTAAGAATCTATTTACGTGTAATTTGTTTATGACAGCCACAGGCCCTAAACCTTTCCCAAGCAAATAAATTTAGAGGAGGCTTGTCACCCACGATCACTATTTTATGCCACGGTGTACGCGCAAAAATCAACCAATTTGTACATTATTTAAAACTGATTTAGCCCGTTGACTCCGAAGTGGTACATAGGCGTACCACGAAGTGTATTTCTCCAGGACGTGGTGGTACATAATTCAGGGTTGCCAGATAGCCTAAAAAACGGCCAAATCCGCGAACAAAAAAGGCTCAAAAAGGCCTATAACTTAACATATACTAGTGTAATTGTAGGTTCCGGTGTAAAAATCCCTTTTATTTTTCTCTGCAGTTTTTACGATTTAATTAGGAAGTACCCCTATTGTAGCGGGCCAGCCTTGGCCGAGCTATTAGTTTCCTCAGCCGCCGCACCTCTCTAACGCAGACTAAAGAGAAAAGTATGCGTAGGTAGTTTTGGGTCGCCTGCCGGAGACCACCACTGCCCTGGATGTAATGGACTATCATGATTCCTGCCTTCCGGAACGTAGCCTTCAACACTTCAAGCCGTCCGTATACTAGGCCGTGGGTCGAACCAGCCCTCGGTCAAACGGCCACTTGTCGAAGGACGATAAATTTTGGAACAGAACTATGCTATCTGAAACCTAACCTCAGATGCGGTGAACGTAAAGTTACGTAATATAACGATGCCCGGAAGTCAGATTCGATCCGCGGCCTAGTGGTGCACGGCAGGTGGTGGTCAAGGCTGGAGGAGGACAAAGCCGAGTGGTGCACGGCTGATTGGTGGATATTCGGAGATATCCAAGGCGTTCGATTCAGGGCTTATAGGTGCACAAAATTGGTGGTGCACGGCTGCGTTCCCGGTAGTTTTCTCGAGAAGCAGCTCAGCCTGCGAGTAGTCTGGTAGTTTTGCGAGTAGGCTGCTTACTTTTGCCTGACCTACCACACTTTGTAATGACTGTTAAAATCTGTATTTAATGTCCCATATAATGTCTGTATTCGCAAACCTATATGCATTTAGTGATAGTTCTATGTCTTGGATGCGGGTTCTCCATGAAATTTAAGTAAACCTTGTGGCCTTTGAAGATTCGCTGATCCATATTGATTCATCCTCGTACGTTAGGGCCCGCTTGCAGAGACCCAGTAACTTTGGGTATGAAGGGTAGTTCTCCCTCTACACTATCATAAAGTTTAGCCGGCCAACGCAATTAAAAAAACTAAATCGCAGAATGTGTCCGAAATAAAAACCGTCGGTCATCCTTGGACAACATATATGCCCATTTCAATTATTTCGACACTTTTTTCGAAAACGATTTTACCGTACTAAATAGTTTGGATTTATTCATACATTATACATATTATTCCGGTAGCAGAATGATGAGGACCAGTGAAAAATAAACATAAATCCTCAATTTGTGTACTTTATAATAGCACAACAAATGAAATAATAGTACAAGATGAAGCAATCGGAGTCAAAGTGTTAATGCATAACCGTTGAAACATGTAGTATCAAAGCAATTTAATTTGACAGTATAAAATGCAACATGGAATTAAAAATTGTAACCTAAGGCATATACATATTTTCCGTAACATTTTCTATGACTTTTAGAATCCTCTTAAGATGGTTCAATTATACAGATTTTGTATATATTTGAGAGAAATATGGAGAAATTTGATTGTTCAAAGTATAAACGGACCACACACATTTACACAATATGTACTACGTGTGCAATTTGTCCCAATTTTGAAAATTGCTACAGCACATTGCAATTGATGGATTCGTCGTAAATAATCAGAATATAGGTAAAACATTTAGCATTATTACAATTTAATTATATGATACAGATGGGGGAATTACGTAATAACGGTAATACCGATCGATTTTGGGATTAATATATCGGTAATATACAAAGCTGAAAAATACCACTTATTAGGCTACCACTTATTTTCACGTATTATTCGTATCATAGCATACAGCTTGGCGGGCCACGATGTTCTGTATAGATTACAATGCAGATGAAAGGAAAATGAAATAATCATAATAACGTATCATAAAACGTAGACAGAGGAACGTGAAAGGTTTAGATCGCGTCAAAATACAAGTTTCCTGGTATGGTAACCTGCTCGTGAGATGGTTAAATAGAATTAAAAATCAGTGCTTCCTAAATGCTTATTCGCTAAAGATTAATATAATATTAATAATTAAAATTAAATTCAAGTCAACCATTTTTGTGATAACTTTTACAATCATTTGAGTTGCATTGTCGATTAAAAGCTTAAATTTCTTCTGAAATTTCTCATATTGACACTATTGACTCAGGTATAATATGCATAATTTAATCACGATAAAATTTAGGGTTTAATAATAAATTTCCATCCACCCAAAAATTTAATGAGAAATCACGAATGAGATATATTAGAAATAATAATATATTATATATTGTTATATTATATTATCTATTATTATAATTTGTTTGTGTTTCAAGAAGAAAAATATATTAATAGTTGCATGCATCAGGCCGTGCAAGTTTATACAGTAGGAATAATATTTCTCCCAAAATTGTATTAAGATTGCGAGCTAATGAAAATCACAATCTATTTACTGACCGCATTTTTTGTACGTGCAAACAAGTGAACCGTTTCTGATTATATTAATTATCAACGGGGTTATACAGTTTTGCGTACGATGATGTTTGTAACATATGCAAATTTTTTTCAAACAAGACCGCTTGACTAAAATCAGCGCAAGCCCAATGTCAGCGCTACATCGTTAGCGCTGACTCGTCATCGTTAGCATCATGAATGTTTGCCTACCAATGCAATTGTAAAAAACTAAATCGCGGAATTTGGCCGAAAAAAATTGCCTCCTGGGAACTCTGACGATAACTACCATCATCACTATCCGTCTGAACTGAATGGCAGAACTGAATCGATACGAGCTGAATGAATAAGCAATGAACGTGGGTACTTGTGCAAAACAAGGTTATAAAAATCAGTAAAAACTAATTCTACGAGAATAATATTCCATCTGGAAAAACCATTATGAAGTGTTTCCGCACTATATTACTCACAGAACTAGCAACCGTCGTTTGAACGTTTTTCGTTAATAACTTTTCACCATTGAACATTTTATAATCAAGTTTTGCCTCATTTAAAGCTCTTTGCGAGGGCTATCGAATGGCATCTCCAAACAAAATCCATATGCTATTTGTAAGGTGACAGACGTAAAATAAAAGCGTCCCGAAATAACCTTGGGAATGGGGTAATCTGGGACATCTGAAATAATACTCAATTTTAAAAAATTTGAAACATGCAAAGTATACTCATCTATTACTAACAGTACTCTGAAGTCCTCCTCTTCCTTTGTAGATGACGTAAATGTAGAATAAATGACATTTTCTGTGTTTTTTACTTGTTTTTCCATTATTGATATGATATTACTATATCCATCCATTATCGTATTATTGATGTGATATTACAGTATCCATGGACATGCCATTGAGCATTGACAACTACCTTGTCCAATGCAAGCTTCACATCAGCAGCCATGTAGCATTTCTTCTGTATCTGTAAGCTTACAGGATGGCTTGTAATTTCACACCATTTTAATTGGGTAAAGGGAATTCACAATAACAAAAAGAGATCGTAAAAACATTCCTGAAACAGAAAAGAATATTCTAATGATCACCATAATATTGTTTGGAGAAATAAATCATTGTTTAGGTTAATTACTTTTCATTCTATGTTGCCCTGTGCACAATTTATCTATGACATTCTATGCACAATTTTGTGATGACCAAAGATGCACTAATTTTTCGCTAAATGAAAATATTTTGCAGAGTGAGGTAAATGTGATAAATTTTTCTTTTTTTTTTGTAATTGATTTTTTGGTTAACTGGAGCCTTTGTTAGCCGAGGTTCTACTGTAAAATCGTTTTTAGGGGTGTCCCTTATTACCCCGTAGTGCGGAAATGGCCGTCATTTTATTTTGGAATGAGATACGCAAATTTGGTCAATCACATGTTTGAGCCAACACTTGTGTGCAACTTTAATGCAAGTAAAATTTTTTAACACGGCGAATATATTTTTTTTTGCTACAGACCTTAGCAGAGGTATTTTTTCAAAATCTCACTTTTCGCACATTTTTTCAGGGATTTTTTTAGAGGTAATAAATATATGATTTCTTAACGTGCTTTATGCTACATAGATCGTAAAAATGTTGAATTTTGCGCCGCTATTTTTAGTTTTGCAATATTTTAATTAGTTCAACTGCTACAACATTTCTACGAAATGTAGGACAACTGTCCCGATTTACCGCGCCCGTCCCTAATTACCCCGTTTGACTGTACATGAATCAGCCACAGGCCTTTTCTTCAACGTCGATGATACTTTTCTACTAAACGGATACATTCAGGTTGTACCAGTAGCCTTGTAAATGAAAACATTTTGACGAAGCGTGCGACTATTTACTTTTTTTCGAAGTCATCGTATTGTAATATTTATACTAGGCTAATCAATACTCACGGCATTGCTGTAAATTACATACTCTTTAGAATACATGGTTAATGGTTAGAAGACATTTAATTTTATTGTATGATACGTATTATTTAATTCTAGGTAGCCTATAATTTGTTAACTGATTAACTATAATTTCATTTTCGATTACTAAAATGAATGTGCTAAAAATCAAAGACTTACATCTATTGTTCATGATTCTAAATTTATAATTTTGAATGATTCTGTGTGAAGAAACTAACAAACCGATTTTCGATCATGCGCCTGACATGATTATTCAGGGTATGTGAATAGCATTCATGTGGAATTTTATAGTTGCACTGGTACGTAAAAGCCACAAGCCCACTAGTCAGGTCCATAAGATCAGTTTCAGGTAAGATGCGTAGGAAAGTATAACGATCAATACCATATTTTTGAAGAGATATGTCGGCAACAAGATACTGTGCATATCTCGCGTGAGTCTATTTACATTCACTGATCACAATGCCGGGAAGAACAAAGTACCTGCATCGAGTATTGAAATGGTCATTGATCACTTACTCTTTGATTACAATTTCTCGCACTTACTATTCTGTCCAAAGGCAATAAAGAACGCTTGCAACTGCTGGAATTCTTGGTCGGAGCGCGCAAAGGCGAGGTCTGCTCCGCGCACCAGGCAGAATCCGCGCGTCAGACACCAAGTAGTTTTAAATCCCACGGGCGTCGTCATCAGACACAAGTCACCGGAGACATTGAAGGGTGCTGTGCAGCTCTGAGGCGCTGCTGCTCCTGAGGGCAAGAGAGTGAAGTTCTGCTGAAGTTAACTTTCTTTCACAGAATAACGGGCTACTTTTAGTATAAGTATTAAATGCGTTAATACTTATTTACCAATTCGAACAGATTTGACTGAACGAAATGACTCCGAGAAAATAAAAACTTCATAAACAGGTCTTGAACTGTATTTTACATAAAATATTAAAGTGGATCTCGTTTGAAGAGAAATATTCATTCGCCTATCATTCAGTTACGATATAACATTTCATCGTGGTTCCGGACCTGAGTTCCAGCTAAACTTTTAACTCGATTAGATTAAATGAAATTCCTGTTGTTCGTTTTTTAGCGTTCTAGCTTTTCTGTTACCCATGCCTGTCGTCATGGCCGAAAAGCAACAAAACCAGCTACGGTTGAATCCTCGGTGCTCTCCCATGACAACAAAGCTTGGTGCCAGTTGTTCGATCGGGTGGCATAAACGTCGTGGCCGTAATTCGTCGTAGGGCCCGAATCTAATCGTAATAAATTTATCTCACTTGATCTTAAGTCTTCTATATAAGCGAATTATCATAACTTACTTGATCGTAAGTCCCTAACCTAATGGTGAAAAACTCGTCTTACTTGGTCGTGAATCCTCAATATAATCGTGATCATTCAGAATATTCTCACATTCGTAAACGGTAGTTCGCATTACCGCCTATCGTCCTCCGGGCATAACACTTGACCATAGAATGAGCGTTAAAATGGCGTAGCAATAGTGATCAAACAAAGTCAGGGTATATCTAGAACATTCACTCGAACAATTGCCTCCACTTTTTTTCTGTATATTATGAAGAAAAAATCAATTCATTACAACAACTATGAAATAACTGCCATATTGATCCAACTTTCCCACCTTATTTTTCAGAGTTCAGTTCAGAATCCACTGCTCAAATTCGATAAGTGATCGATGATCCGATTTGATTAATAATCATAAACCCAAAAACCTACTTTTATTTTTCGTGCCAAGTTTTCATCAAACCCACAAACCTAAAGATATACGTATATAATAGATATTTTTTGTTAATTAAGCATATAATGATGCTATAATTGGCACATGTAGAAGTAATTTTCGCTCACATCCACAATACCAGTAATTTGAGGGCATTACCTGCATTATAAAAAATGTCATCACTGGAGCTGGAATGCAGAGGCAGCGCAAAGCGTGTGGTGGACTATGCAGTATAAGTCCCAATAATGCTGGTAATGATCTAATTATTTGAATTAATATTAGGAAGATATTGAAAGTTAAATTTTTTATCATAAAAACAAGGGTTGAATGAGGATTCTTTATTTAGAAGGTGTGAGCAAGAAAATAACTGACTGGCGATCGGCTGGATGAAGATCACAGACAATGAAAAGGTGATCAAACATCGAAAATCTTCTTTGCAGCGATTATTTACTTTTTGAAGATTATTTTATAGCTGACATTCTTGGTTAATAGCTTATACGATTATCCTTATAACTGAACCAAAACATTACGCTTTGCCAAATGAATGTAAAGGTTCTAAACACGAACGAAAATAAGATCGCGTAGAACGGAACGAGACAAACACTATTAATTTCAGTGTTATGAAATTTTATCGACTCAAGATGCCAGTTATTTTCTAATTGAGAAGCATGGGTGGCAATAACGTCTTGCTTTTGTCTTACTGTTCACGTCGACCATCCCACTGGGCAGGCATACGTCCTTCAAATTTGGACAAAACGAGTTGGTCTTCGTCTCTCCAATCTCCATGAGCGAATTTCCCGGCAGCACGCAGACTGCAGAAATGAAGGCGATAGATCAGCCTTTCAAAAAATGGCAGGGCAATTTTTTTACATAAGGTTAGTATTTGACAGCCTGATCGAGTGAAATGTCAATTGGATTCACTTCGGTATATTTTTTTATAAGTTGACTTATTGTTTTCCTGCTCACGTTCATGAAATTAAATATTGAAGCGTCAAATAGGGCTGCCATGTTCAATGGATCAAAAACCGGATGAATGAAAGAAATCCGTTTAAATTTCAAGTGCGCTTTTTTCGTATTACGAATTCAGTGCTCTTGAGCGACAAAAGCTTCCAAGTCAGGCAAAAGGTTCACATGAGGCCCTCTGTGTGCTTATGTAAATGTTGCGTTATAATTCTCAGATTATCGTTCAAGTTCTAAAGTATTGCATTGGTGAGATTATTCTAGAGCTTGACATGGAAAAATCACCAATTTATGTCGTTTTAGTCTTATTGAAAAGTTATAAGAAAAATCTATTCGGAAAATTTCAGAGGCAGTTTTTTGGTTCATATTCTGTTCTTCCAAATTACTAAGTTCCGAAAAACTATATGCTAATTTATAAAGATCCAAGTTTATACTTTTTCCAGCTTATTTGACGGTTTATTGGAAGACCCAGTAAAATGTAAATTTCATGAGTTTAAGACATTTACACTAACCGTCAGTTTTGAAGACAGCCATGCAGTTGTTTGATCCTGGGGTGACCGTGAGGTTGACCAGCCCATTCTTGATGGGCTTGTCATCCCATAGTGAGCAGTTTCCTGAGCCGTCGGTGAGAGGGGTGTAACAGGCCAGGAAAGTCCAGTCCTTTGCAGTAGCCCAGTTCCAGCATCGCATTTGCGACGTAAGAACGCCAGAGCTGTTTTGACCACTATAAGTGAACAACAGGGCAAGGTCTACAGACGCCGGTTTCCAATACTTGTAGCGCCCTAAACCTTCTTGTACAAGCCCTAACATGTATATGGTAAAGGCTGTGCCAACCTTCATCTTGAGTCACTGATCCTTCACTTCATGTAGATAGCAAATGTTTTCTTAATATTGTACATTGCCAGTGTTCTGAACCCTAAATGTATAAGAGAATACCAAATTAACTGGTAGAGTGTTCGTATTATTTACTTGTCGATCCCAAAAAAACCTTATAGCTGAAGGACTTTTAGGACTTAACGATACCTTGTTCACATCACCGCACTGCACCGGCGTACTCACTATAGGAGCACCAGTGTGCTTGTGAGACGGACGCTTTCGTGTCACTGATGAAGGTGACTTCTGACATTAGTCCGTGGAGTCAAGATTGCTCGATAAAAAACACCATTAGCTTCTGCATTCATCGAATTGAAAGTTTAGTTCATGTTTTAATTTGTTGCCCGCACAGGAACAGAGAGGCATTAAACACGCAGGCTTGATTAAACTAATATCGTTCATCAATATCAGTATTTGAAATTTCAACACCTCCCTACCCTGGTCTGTTGAATTTTAAAGTTGTGGAAAAAGTCTCCTGGAGAAGTGCCTTTCATATATGAACGTAATTGCATACAAGGAGTTAAAACTCAGCAATGCAGTACAGAATTCATCCGGGTTTGTTCAACGATATTATATATTTTGTATATATTTCGGATATTTGCCCACATTATATTACAGAAAACGCATTATTATTCTCCTGGTTATGAAATTTGACCGCTGTTATAATCACTTTCAATTAATAAATTGAAATTAATAATTAAATTAATAAATTAATAAAATTAATAAATAATTAAATTAATAATTTCACAATAAACCAAGACTGGCAATATGTTAATTTCTTGATCACCTACATTTATTTTGTAATGAATTTCTGGCAGTGAAAACGGTCACATTACAAAACTAAATTTTTTCATGTGATAATTTGACAATTTAGTTCAGTTCAGTTCAGTTCAGATGAAACTGTAACAATTCAGTTGTTACAGTTTCATCAGATAAATAGCAGTTTTTTTTACTTGTCAAATTTTTAATGAACCAATATGATCGAAATATAATGTATGTATGTAAAATTCACCATTTAGAGTGAATTTTGTAGACTAGTCGTTCGTATTATTTTGAATTGTATTTCCAACGCATATTCTCTTATAAAAAATAAACCTCACTTTTAGTTTAGGTCACCTCTATATACTCACGCATGACTGTCCCCACACGTACACGGCAATGACTAATTAAAACTTTGATTTCGGTGATACTGAAAATATTTTCCTTAGACACACGAGCTACTGTTCAATTTCAATTATGAATTAACTCCAATTTGCCATGATTTTGCATATATAAAATATGTTTAAAAAGCACTGAGCGTTCAGTTGGTTTAAATATCGCGCAGTTTCATGCACAAACGCGTTCAGTTCGTAAATTAATTTAGTTTTTTATCCGTGGGTTTTCAGTCACGATAATTAGTAGGAAATTGTAACAAGCTGACTCAATTAAATTCATGTCATGACGTCTCCAATGCAAGAGTTTCAACACATTATTCGGGCCATCAACCTCCCTATTTAATTTAGATTTTCACCGTATGTAACTTGTGCCGAACAGGAATAACTAATGTAGCAAATGAGCTGTCTCCTGAAATGACCAGAAATGTGGTAAATTATTTTTATTTCGAATGTAAAATGCTTATATAAATTGAAATATTTTTCTCAAGCACGTCAACGATCTCTAAAAGATTAAATCCTGAACACGTGTAGCAGATTTGAGTGCATGTTCTGTTTTACTGAATACTTCTAAACTCTGAACAGGTATCATTACGGCCAGCTCAAGGTCTGGTTCAAATGATTTTTCTTTTCTGAATGCGACGGTTGATCTTTATTCTTTACACACAACGGCTTAAGATATTGGAAACTTTAAAAGCATTTTGATTGATGTCGTTCGTAGTTTTCATCGAGTTTAATTAGTTCGCACTAACTGCGTTATAGCGTGCGGGGACTCCAGCAACTGAGTTCGTACAGGCATTTATTATTAACACGTAGTTGGATGCAAGTTAAATGAGGGCCAGCAGCAATGGCTCAAGTTTTCACTTTGACGAGCTGGTAAGATTAAATTTATTTAGATTTGACATGTAAGTCAATATAATTCAACAGAAGTTGTCGACGCCAGAAAAATACTGAGCAAAGTTAATCAAGGTTTAGTCTCAGAATGAATCATACGGAGACAAATTTTCTATTTAAAAAAGCCTAGGTAAAATATGATCAGTGTTGTTTAAATATTTTGGGGGTTTAAAACGCGCCAAATTATTGAAACAAGTTATTGTTATTCCGAAAGTTAATCATAATGCATAAGCTATTTAATTTTTTTATAACGCTGGACTTCAAATTTAAAGGTCGCTGCTTCCAAGTTTAATCGCCATTTAAACTTGTGTTCCAATGAGAGAAAGAAGCTAACAGAGAAATGGAGCTAGCATGTAATCGATACCGAAATTGCTCAATGCAAGCTGTTTTTTTAACTTGGCTTGCCATTTCGTTTGATTATTTGCCCTGTCTCATACGAAATTCTTCTGGCCAGAAGTAACCTACGAATAATAGAGAAATGAGATACACGTAACGAAGCAATTAATACAAATAAAGACAACTTACTTTCTACTCAAGTCTAGGGCTTCTTGCTCAAGCTCTCCACGTCGTAACATGTGTTGGCCACTCTAAGCGTCGCAGTTCCAGAAGAACAGTTCTTCCATTAAAACAATAAATCAAAGCAAGCAACATCCGTCGTTTGTTAGAGTGACGGCTACTAATTACTAGCAACCTCAGGCGACAAACATTCATACATTCTAAAAACTGTTATTGCACTCAACTCCTCACGAACAGGCTCCATCAGATTATACAACATTAGACCAAACCACTGAAATTAAAAGCTATCCAATAACATAACTTTACACCAGTGGTCCCCAAAGTTTTGCAGGCTGGTGCCCCCTTGGCTCCTCAGTATATTTCTAGCGACCCACTGACACATATAGATACAAACGCCTCTTTCTTGATATTTGGTATACTTCAATTTGAAAAGAGAATTGGTAAACACAAATGTCTATTTCACGGAAAAAATTAGTATACCAGTATATATTTTTAGCAGTTTTAACAGTTTCAGCAACATAGAATGGTTTTAATGGTTTCAGCACTGTTGCCCCCTTCTTCCTCACCGCCCCCCAGATCTTTCCGTTGTCCCCAGGGGGAAGTACCGCCCACTGCTTTAGACGATAAATAATATCGCAAACACGTAAATTTTCAGAGATAAATAATTCTACTTTTGTAAAGTTCTATCACCTAATGCATACACACAGCAAATATTGAATATATGATGATGTTTACTGCATTTTGAAAACGTGTATTTCCTTGCTATTATGTGAGACACAACTATGCGAGGATAACACATGATGAATTCAATTTATCACATTGATTAATCAGTATTGTTGGAGCTTGTGACCTAGTAGAGGAAATAATTTATTTTATTGCTAAATACATAACTTTCAAGTTGTAATGTATTGTGTTAAAGATTTTGGCTTATTTTCAGTTTTCAATCACCAAGCTGTGACCTCGAGCAGCAGTGTGTTCTATTCGTGATTGTATCGGGAGATCGGGAACGCAGCCGTGCACCACCCAATGTGTGCACCAATCAGCCCTGGAAGGAACGCCTAGCATATTTCCGGATGACCACCAATCAGCCGTGGATTAAGCCATCCGTCGGTAACCAGCCCATGACATCATCCTGCTTTATATATAACTATAAGAAGCTTTACGCCACCGTGTTCTGAAGCAAATACCCCAGATGTGTAATGAACGTCCATTAGTGAGGGTTACATCGAATCATAACTTCATATCCTGACTTTAGCTCAAACTGTAACTAGCGGACAACGAACTGCGACCACTCAGCCTAGCTCGCCAGTGGAACTGCATGAACCCTGCCGTGCACCACCAGACGGTCACTTTTGGCTCACAGCATCTGGGGTTAGGTTTCAGAAAGCATAGTCCTGTTCCAGAATTTATCACGAGTGGCCGTTCGACGGTACGCTAATTCGACACACGGGACATGGTTGAATTAATAAAAAATTAATGTATTAATACAACCATGTTGAATTAATGTATTAATTCAACCATGAGATACGTACGGGTCGGTGCCGGGCATCATATTCACTGTAAGGCTCCGGCGCGCTTCGTCCGGGTGGTGTAAAATTTTTTTCTATTATTGGCAGACGATAGAATAGAATAGAAGTGTCGGCGCTGAAGAAATAGGCCCATGGCCTGTTGCCGATTCTTGAACTTTTCGTGACTTGATTCACAAGGGATCCGTAAGACCGCTTGACTAAAATCAGCGCAAGCCCAATGTCAGCGCTACATCGTTAGCTCCCTTATCCTTAGTATATGTTTAGTGCGTAGCAGTCTCAATCCATGATGGATCGCCGCCTCTACGGAGCAACCATTGCCCTGCACATACCGAGATACACGTTAGGGCAGTTTGTGTCGGCGAGCTGCGCAGCAGAAGAGTAGAAAACTGCACAATTGTAACCGTCGGGTTGTCCAGGATACCAGTCTGGCAAGGTGTACGGGTTCCTGTAGCTGTTGAGCCACACCCACTGTCCATCGAGCTTGTTGCTGCCCAGCCACATGTTATTGCCTGTAAATATACAAAAGTAGGTTTTACTGATTACTTTCGTAAATCATAATGAAGTGATTTTTGTGGGCAGTGTTCGCACTCCTACTTTTGTACTTCCGTGGATCGACCTGCATGCAGCTGCACCGCTAAATGAGTCGTGCTCTGTTTGCATGCACGTAATTAAATTAAACTATATTCTTTCGAGCATCTGCCTATGCTTCCCCTGTGTTCATAGCTGTATTCTGGATCATTCATTTTTTCATCGTCCATCCTTGGTTTGTTCGGTGATGATCACTCTAGACCAAAATATGATGAATCCGCGTTCGGGCTTATGAGAAACTTAATTACTTCTGCCATAGCCTTTGTCTCCATCGCCCACAAAACGTTAACAAGGATTTGCAGATGGTCTAAATCATGGTTGAAGTGGTATAATGTTGACCCATCAGAAGCCCATTGTTGCGGATGTAGTTCGTTGTTCGCCTGTGACGTCACTGATCTCAGTGACGTCACGGGTATTAATCAACCACCGAAATGCGATCAAATCAGTCAACCAATCCGTCATGGGAATGACGGGTTTGTTTACGTTTCTCGATCTACGTGACGTAACAAGAAAGCTGAACTGAAAGACGGAACTTCTCGTGGGTCAACCTTGTATAGTTTAACCATGAATCTAAATGGTCCAAAATCCGCGTACAAAAAGAGCCAAGAAGGTTAACCTTCTTGGCTCTTTCAAGATTAACCTTCCAAGAAGGTCAACCTTATATAGTTTAACCATGATCTAAATGGTCCAAAATCCGCGTACAAAAAGAGCCAAGAAGGTTCACAGATCAATAGCTACTAGTAAATTTGTAGGTTTTTTGTGCAAAATTTTGATTTTAAATTAATATTTTACTTTTCGCAAAGTACAGTAAGTAAGTACGGCCATCATGAATGTTTGCCTACCAATGCAATTGTAAAAAACTAAACCGTGGAATTTGGCCGAAATAAAATACTTAAAAAAAAACTTTTTAAAAAACCACGTTTTTCTTGTGGACTAAAAAGTAGAAAATAAAATACTTAAAAAAAAACTTTCTAAAGAACCACGTTTTTCTTGTGGACTAAAAAGTAGAAAATAAATTATGGCTCGCCCCAAAAAACGTGGGTCGGGCTGTACGTTCACCATCAAATTTACAAAATTCGTATGTTGTGTGTTTATTGATTATTGTATTGTCATCGGGAGCTGAGCTTCCCTAAAAGTTTCAGAGCGCTAGCTAGCGGGAAAGTTGGTGAAATATTGATTGCAAGATTTGATCATCACAGACGGACACGAAAGCGAGCTGAGAAAAACGTGGTAAAATGGCCTCTTGGCAACCCTGACGATAACTACCATCATCACTATTTGTCTGAACTGAATGGCAGAACTGAACCAATGCGACCTGAATGAATAAGCAACGAACGTGGTAACTTATGCAAAACAAGGTTATAAAAAACAGTAAACTAATTATACAAGAATAATATTCCATCTGAAATAACCATTATGAAGCGTTTCCGCACTAGATTACTCACAGAACTAGCAACCGTCTTGGCCGGCCTTTTGGCTATATTTTTGCAAAGCCTTGAACGAAGGGACTTTGCTGGCCGATTGGAAAGAAGCTTAAGTAGCATCGTTAATTGTTCAAAAAGGGTGACATGAGTAGCCCCGGTAACTACCGCCCTACAGTCTCATAGGTGTTGTTTGTAAGGTAATGGACTCAGTTGCGAGGAAGAGTATTATCGATCACTTGACTGTTAAACATCTCCTTTCAGACTGTCAGCATGGCTTTATTAGCAAAAGATAATGTACCGCTAATATCTTGTCTGCCTTGAACGATTGGACTCGCCTGCTGGACGAGAGGGAGCCAGTGGATGCAGTGTAACTCGATTTTGACAAGGCAATTGATAGTGTTCCGCATGAGCGACTGTTGCGTAAAATGAAGTCTTTGGGAATGGAGGAAAATGTACTCTAATGAATTAATGATGTCCTAGTAGGTCGACGACAACGTGTCAGCATTAATAGAACCGTGTCAGACTGGGCAACATGCACAGTGACGTGCCACATGGAAGCGTTCTTGGGCCTGTTGTGTTCGTTGCTTTTATGAACGATCTCCTCACATAAATAGCGTCAAGCGTGTGCTCCATGTATGCTGACGACGCAAAAGTTTATAATACGGTTAAGGATGCGTCAAACAAAGCGCAACTACAAGATGGTATTGATAATTTGTTGACTCTGATGATACGTGGCAGCTAAGTTTTAATGTTGACAAGTGTAAAGTACTTCACCTCGGGAAGAACAATGAACAGCAAGATTACATACAGCACGAGAAGACGTGGTTGCAACGAGAGAGTTATACTCGAAAAGTCGACAGTGGAAAAAGATTCGGGAGTTTAACCAGGAGCTGAAAGTTTATAGGCAAATTGAAACGCAAGTCAATAAATCCAATGAACTACTTTGACTGATCAGACGCTCCTACGAGTTCCTATATGCAGAAGCGATGAAGCAGTTACAGTAGTCATCGCCGTCGTGTGCCTGAACCTAGAATTTGATAACACAGTGTGTTCACCGAATGTCAGGGAAATCCATCTGATATGGCAACAGCGCCACGTCATCATAGCTAATTACTAGCCGCAGATCTCCGCTGTTGTTAATTGTCTCTTCAGAACTCGTGGGGGGTGGTCGGCGCTCTGATAGTCTTCCGCCTTCGGTAAGTCAGACTTGCGATTCCTGTTAGTTTACCTGCCTTGAGCAGCATTGTCCATATCTGCAGTTAGACGGTCACAGTGAACTACGGTCAAATACTTAGTCTCTCGAAATCCCTTGGCTCCTCTTATCATGCCTTTCCTGTAAACCCGAATGTTTCAGACCGGCGATTGTTGACCCATGCCTTCTGTAGCAGATAGACCCACTGACTGGCCACCAGATGGCTACTCATCCACGAGTAAACGTACCGGCTCCTGTCTCTGCCCGAACTCCTGATCCTGTTCTACATCTACCGGTCTTCTAGCGCCTACTCATCTTCAACATCCTCCTACCTGGCGCTCTGGCTCGGGAGTTACCTTGCCTGCTTCACGGAATCTTGCCTGCTTCACGGAGCCTTGCCTGCTTCACGGAGCCTTTGCCTGCTTCACGGAGCCTTGCCTGCTTCACGGAGCCTTGCCTGCTTCACGGAGCCTTGCCTGCCTCACGGAGCCCTACCTGCATCTGGGCCTTCATTTAGTTTACCAACCTTAAGTATACGTTTAAGAATCTGTTGCGTTTCTGTCGCCTCCCTCGCTTGGTTTGGTTACTCTCGAGCGGCTGTGGACCCAATTTGCTGGACTAACTCAGAGACCGTAATTTGTGATCTTCCAAGCTTCACTTGGATCTCTGGAGTGAGTCCTGATTCCTTTACACCGAAACTTGAAAAGACAAAAAAAATAGTCGAGAGTGTTCAAAGAAGCGCTGCATTAAGGTTAATTTCAGGCTTGAAGAGTAAGTCTTTTGAAGAAAAATGAGAAATTATGAGGCTTCCGAGTCTCTGTTATCGACGTATGTGTGGTGATCCTATGGAGGTATACAAATATACTCGTGGCTTATACAAGGTCCCAAGAGGATGCCTTGAGCATGAAACATGAACCGACGCCAAGGACCTCGGCTATAAGCTGAAATAAAATACTTAAAAAAAAAAACTTTTTAAAAAACCACGTTTTTCTTGTGGACTAAAAAGTAGAAAATAAATTATGGCTCGCCCCAAAAAACGTGTGTCGGTCAGATTTATGATTAAAGCGAAAAGCACACAAGAAACGAATTTTGGAAATTTGATGGTGAATGTACAGCCCGACCCACGTTTTTTTGGGGGGAGCCATCATTTATTTTCTACTTTTTAGTCCACAAGAAAAACGTGGTTTTATAAAAAAGTTTGTTTTCAGTATTTTTTTTCTCTTTTTTAGTCCGTTGCTACACATGAAAAACGTTGTTGCGAGCCAATTTACTTGACTTGACGTACGTATCGATGATACGCAGCGTCAGCGCCTGCTAGTCTATAACGTCGCAGCGCCCGCACGTTCGGGCTAACTAAAAACTAAACGGAGCTGTGCAAAAGTATGTAACATAACTTAATGATGACGGCCCTGAAGAGTAGGCCTGATGTGGCCTGTCGCTGATTCTTGTACTTTTCATTACTTCTTCACAGAAGATCCAAAAGCATGTCCTTTGACCGGATCTTTTCTAGACTGACGATAGTTTGAAATAGCTACTAGACTTCCTCCGGGTTCGATATGGGGCTAGGCATTTCAAGTCTGAACAGATATTTTTCCATAGCTTTATCTAGTCTGTTCTTGAACGCGTTCATACTCTGAGCGCAAACGATGTAATCGTGGAGTCTGTTCCACATGTCGGTGAATCGAAGCGAAAAGAAATGTTGTCGCGTGGATGAGTTGCAACGCAGTTTTTTAGTTTATAGCCACGGCCCCTGGTGTTGGTTCAGTCTTGAAATGCCTAGCACCCTATGGAGCTTGTGACATTACAGTGATGATGAAAACCAAGTTCAGTTGAACATGTCTTGTCAAAAAGACAGTTTTTCGATCTATGAACAAGTCTCGAAAAGTACATGAGTCAGCCACAGGCCTTTTCTTCAACGTCGATGATACTTTTCTACCAAACGGATACATTCAGGTGTACCAGTAGCCGTGTAGATAAAAACAATTTAACGAAGCGTGCGACTATTTTATTTTACTTTTTTCGACGTCATTGTATTGTAATATTTATACTTGGCTAATTAATACTCACGGCATTGCTGTATATTATGTACGCTTATAAACATGGCATTTTTAAATGGTTAATGGTTAAAAGACATCTAATTTTATTTTATGATACGTATTATTTAAGAATTGATGTCACTTATTTGCTTAATCGCAAGTTAACTAAAAATTTAAAAGCAAAGAATAGTCCACAAAAATTCATATCTCTATAGAAAACGTTTCGGAGTCCAGCTTCATCGTCAGTTCGTAGAATCTAGAATTCACATAGAAAGCCACAAATTAGTACAATTGAAAGCACAGAACACAATTAAAAACCTAAATTTACAAGTAATAGGACACAAATTAAACCTATCTATTCACAATTTCAAGGGGATAGGAGCTAACAGCTGAATTTAAACTAGGCCTAAGTTTAAAAATGTACAATAATTCTAAGATACGCAAATCTGAAGTACCGGAGGTGGAAGCTAACACTCTAGAGTCACTGTCAGAAACAGGGACATCACACTGCTCGGCGTGAGTGCGCACAGCCGAATGAGTGGGGCGCGATAGCAACTGTCCGTTTCTACAACTCCTGCCCTTATGCTCAGCAACCCTGCAATAAAGATTGCGTGACGTCATCCCGACGTACGCAGATGCACATTGTGCACAATGAAATTGATAAACCAGGGACGATCGCATATGAGCAGGGAGCATATCTATATATCTAAAGAAAGAACCGATTTCAAAACCGATTTGCACGCTGAGTTTGAATTTTTACGAAATATTTTCTCACTTAATGGATTTCCGGCAAGTTTGGTTTATATCCAAATCAAGAAATTCATGTCGAAGCGATTCAGTGAGGTTGCTCCCGAGCGCGATAGTAGGAACGTTATTTATTGTTCTTTTCCAAACTTCGGCCCTGCGTCCGAAGCTATGTCAAGAGAATTAAAAGTCTTGTTCGATAGATACTTTCCGAGCGTCAAACTTCATATTGTTCTGGTAAACAGTTTTAAAATCGGTTCCTTCTTTAGATATAAAGATATGCTCCCTGCTCATATGCGATCGTCCCTGGTTTATCAATTTCGTTGTGCACAATGTGCATCTGCGTACGTCGAGATGACGTCACGCAATCTTTACTCCAGGGTCGCTGAGCATAAGGGCAGGAGTTGTAGAACCGGACAGTTGCTATCGCGCCCCCCTCATTCGGCTGTGCACACTCTCTCCGAGCATTGTGATGTCCCTGTTTCTGACAGTGACTTTAGGGTGTTAGCTTTTACCTCCGATACCTCAGATTTGCGTATTTTAGAATCATTGTACATTTTTAAACTTGGGCCCAGTTTAAATTCAGCTGTTAGCTCCTATCCCCTTGAAATTGTGAACAGATAGGTTTTGTGCCCTATTACTTGTAAATTTAGGTTTTTACTTGTGTTCTGTGCTTTCAATTGTACTAATTTGTGACTTTCTATGTGAATTCTAGATTCTACGAACTGACGATGGAGCTGGACTCGGAAACGTATTATTCAATCCTAGGTTCAATTTGTTAACTGATTAACTATAACTTCATTGTCGATTACTAAAGTGAATGCGGTAAAAATCAGAGACTTAAATCTATTTTTCATGATTCCAAATTTTAGAATTTGGAATGAATCTGTGTGGGGAAACTAACGAACCTATTGTCGATCATGCGCCGGACATGATTATTCAGGGTATGTGGGGAACAGCATTCATGGGGAAATTACTAAGTGCACTGGTACGTAGAACGTTGAAGCCACAAACAAACTAGTCGGGTCCATAGGATCAGTTTGAGGAAAGATGCGTAGGAAAGTACTGCGATCAATAACATTGTTGACAAAATATGTCGGCAACAAGCTACTGTGCAGATCACGCTTGAATCTATTTACATTCACTGATCACAATGCGGGGAAGAACGAAGTACCTGTATCGAGTATTGAAATGGTCAGTGATCAGTAACTCATTGATTATAATTTCTCGCACTTACTGGTCCGTCCAAAAGCAACAAAGAACGCTTGCAAATGTTGGAATTCTTGGTCGGAGCGCGCAAAGGCGAGGTCTGCTCCATTCATCAGGCACAATTGGCGTACTCGACACCAAGAAGCCCCCACAGGCGTCGTCATCAGACACAAGTCACCGGAGACATTGAAGGGTGCAGTGCAGCTCTGAGGCGCAGCTGCTCCTGAGGGCAAGAGAGTGAAGTTCTGCCGTAGTTGAGTTTCTTTCACAGAATTGCGGACTTCTTTTAATTACTACGTTTTTCTTGACTTCGTTTCGTGTCTGTGTGTCATCAAAAATTCAGACCTTAATTAGAGCTCTTCTGAACATACTAGAAACTTTAAATTTGGCATGCATGCTTATGCTGCCTAACAATTCAAGATTTGATCATCAGAAATAATAATTAAAAAAAATTTAGAAAAAAAATAAAAAAAGTAAAAAAACACGAAAAATTCACGGTTTGGAATTGAGTTTTTTCTCGAACATCCACACTTGCAAATCCTGGAAATTGATTTCAATTGCTAAAATTGCTAACTAAAAAGTAGAAAATAAATAAATATAAAAAATATTTTTAAAAACCACGTTTTTCTGGTTTTTACAAAGCTAAAAATAACGAAATAAAACAAATAAAAAAACTGTCGAAAAACCACGTTTTCTTAGCGGACAAAAAAGAAAAACATTTACTCCTACATAACATTTTACATAACTTAAATGTTATGTAAGACTAAATGTTTTTCTTTATTGTCCGTTAAGAAGACGTGTTTTTTTAACAGTTTTTTTATTTGTTTTATTTCATTATTTTTAGCTTTGTAATAATCAGAAAAACGTGGTTTTTAAAAATATTTTTTATATTTATTTATGTAAGTATTGAATGCGTAAATACTTATTTACCAATTCGAACAGATTTGACTGAACGAAATGACTCCGAGAAAATAAAAACTTCATAAACAGGTCTTGAACTGTATTTTACAAAAAAGAATAAAGTGGATCTCGTTTGAAGAGAAATATTCATTCGCCTATCATTCAGTTATGATATAACATTTCATCGTGGTTCCGGACCTGAGTTCCAGCTAAACTTTTAACTTGATAAGATTAAGGGGGAGGTCTACCCTAAAATTTTCGGATTTGGCTTTTCTGGTATTTAGTATCGTCTTAAAGCTTACATTCTGCCCTATCCAATGATACCACTGCGATCCCTGTACGTGAATTTTTACTTACATGACGGCTCTTTAAAGGGGGGCGGGTGGTTGGAGTTCCTTCACTAATTAGATACAAGGTAATTAGCTGCTGAGCATTTTAAATATAGTTTCTACTTGAGTTGTGCTGTAGTTACGTACTTAGTCTCATCTTAAAGCTGACATTCTGAGCTTTTCAACGATACCACTGAGATTCCTGTACGCGAATTTTTACGCACTCGGCTGCTCTTTAAAGGGGGGTGGGGGTGGAGTTCCTTTACTAAATAGATGGGAGGTAATTCACTCGCTAAGACTACATATATAGTTGTATCTGGCATCAAGGCTCAGTCACCCTGTTCGCTTCATACGGAGAGGTGTACTGCAAGTCGCTGCTAGCATCCTTGAGTGGAATTAAGCTACAGAAGCCTGTAGTTTGGTCTCTATGCTACATTGAGTGACTATTTCAAGGCGCGCGGAACTTTGTCGCGCTGTCCTGAAAAGTTAAACTTTTTGTCACGGAAAACCTATCTCCTCCTAGCGTTTTAAAGTTACAGCGATGAGACATATACCAATCTATTTGCAAAGACCATACCTATCGAGTAACGAAGCCCTTTTTTAGATTTGTGCATAGTTTGGATTCAAAATGGGTGGAAAGGGGGGTGGAATGAGAAAAAACGAAAAACAAGTTTTAAATGGCTAAAAAAAACTAAGGCAAAAATCAAAAATCGGGCTTCGTTACTCGATTGATATGGTCTTTAAGAATAGAATGGTATATGTCTCATCGCTGTAGCTTCAAAACCCTAGGAGGAGATAGATTTCTACAGTACCCCCTTTTTTGTCCGTTTTCTATGGATTCCACGTTTTCAATCAATTTTTCCGAAAAAAAATCACACGAACAAAAATGTCTTAGAATTCTGTTTTACATATGTGTACCAAGTTTCAGAGTGATCCGTATGTAAACAATAAAGTTTTTATGGAAGGGAGGACCTCCTCCTTAAATGAAATTCCTGTCGTTCGTTTTTTAGCGTTCTAGCTTTTTTTGTTACCCATGCCTGTCGTCGTGGCCGAAAAGTAAGAACACTAGCTGCGGTTGAATTTTCGGTGCCCTCCTACGACAACAAAGCTTGATGGCAGTTGTTCGATCGAGTGACATAACGTCGTGGCCGTAATTCGTCATATGCCCCGAATTTAATCGTAATAAATTTATCTCACTTGATCATAAGTCTCCTGTATGAGCGCAGTTCACTTGCTTACTTGATCGTAAGGCCCGAACCTAATCGTGAGAAACTCGTCTTACTTGGTCGTAAATCCTCAATATAATCGTAATCATACAGAAAGTTCTCACATTCGTAAAGGGTAGTTTGCATAACCGCTTACCGCCCTCGGGGCATAACACTTGTCCATAGAATGAGCGTTAAAATGGCGTAGCAATAGTGATCAAACAAAATCAGGGCATATCTAGAATATTCATTCCGACAATTTTCTCCACTTTTACTTCAGTATATTATTAACAAAAATCAATTCATTACAACAACTATGAAATAACTGCCATATTGATCCAACTTTCCCACCTTATTTTTCAGAGTTCAGTTCAGTTTCCACTGCTCAAATTCGATAAGATTAGTGATCGATGATCCGATTTAATTAATAATCATAGACCCAAGAACCTACTTGTATTTTTCGTGCCAAGTTTCCATCAAACCCTCAAACCTAAAGATATACGTATATAATAGATATTTTTTTAATTAAGCATATAATGACGCTATAATTGGGACATATAGAAGTAATTTTCGCTATAGAAGTAACACTGGCGCTGAAATGTAGAGACAGCGCAAAGCGCTGGTTATAATGCCGGTAATGATCTAACTAATTGAATTAATATTAAGAAGATATTGAAAGTTAATTTTTTTATCATAAAAACAAGGGTTGAGAGGGTTCTTTATTTAGAAGGTGAGAGCAAGAAAATAACTGACTGGCGATCGGCTGGATGAAGATCACAGACAATGAAAGAGAGATGAAACATCGAAAATCTTCTTTGCAGCGATTATTTACTTTTTTCAAGAATATTTTATAGCTGACGTTCTTGGTTAATAGCTTATACGATTATCCTTATAACTGAACCATAACTTACGCTTTTGCCAAATGAAAGTATAAAGGTTCTAAACGCGAACGAAAATAAGATCGCGTAGAACGGAACGATACAAACACTATTAATTTCAGTGCTATGAGATTTTATCGACTCAAGATGCCAGTTATTTTCTACTTGAGAAGCACGGGTGGCAATAACGTCTTGCTTTTGTCTTACTGTTCAGGTCCACCATCCCACTGGGCAGGCATACGTCCTTCAAATTTGGACAAAGCGAGTTGGTCTTCGTATCTCCAATCTCCATGAGCGAATTTCCCGGCAGGACGCAGACTGCAGAAAAGAAGGCGATAGATCAGCCTTTCAAAAAAAAAAAAACAGGGCAATTTTTTTACATAAGATTAGTATTTCGACTGCTTACCGTTAGCCTGATTGAGTGAAATGTCAATTGGATTCATTTCAGTATATTTTTAAAAAGTTGAGTAGATTTACTGTTTTCCTGCTCACGTTTATAACATTGAATAATTTAGCAATTTGAAGCCTCAAATGGTGCTTCTAAACTGACATGTTCAATGGATGATAAACCAGATGAATGAAAGAATTTCGTTCTGATCTCAAGTGTGATTGCAAGTAAGCTTTTTCGTATTACAAATTCTGTGTTCCTGAGAACATGAGCTCCCACGTCAGTTAAAAGGTTCACATGAGGGTATGTAAATGTTGCGTTATAATCATCAGATTATTGTTCAAATATTGCATGGGTGAAATTAGTTTAGAGCTTAGCATGGAAAGTATCATCAATTTATGTCGTTTTAGCCTGATTGAAAAGTTTTAAGAAAAAATCTACTTATTTTTCAGAGGCAATTCAGAACCAAAAATTTCAGAGGTATTTTTTTTTATTCAGATTATGTTATTATAAGTCAGTGTGTTCCGAAAAACTACATGCTAATTTATAATATCTAAGTTCATACTTGTTCCAGCTTATTTAACAGTTTATTGGAAGACTCTGTAAACTGTAAATTTCATGAGTTTAAGACACTAACCGTCAGTTTTGAAGACAGCCATGCAGTTGTTTGATCCTGGGGCGACCGTGAGGTTGACCAGCCCATTCTTGATGGGTTTGTCATCCCATAGTGAGCAGTTTCCTGAGCCGTCGGTGAGAGGGGTGTAACAGGCCAGGAAAGTCCAGTCCTTTGCAGTAGCCCAGTTCCAGCATCGCATTTGGGACGTAAGAACGCCAGAGCTGTTTTGACCACTAAAAGTGAACAACAGGGCAAGGTCTACAGACGCCGGCTTCCAGTACTTGTAGCGCCCTAAACCTTCTTGTACAAGCCCTAACATGTATATGGTAAGGGCTGTGCCAACCTTCATCTCCAGTCACTGATCCTTCACTTCGTGTAGATAGCAAATGTTTTCTTAATGTCGTACATTGACAGTGTTCTGAACCCTTAATGTATAAGAGAATACCGAATTAACTGGTAGGGTGTTCGTATTATTTACTTGTCGATCCCAAAAAAACCTTATAGCTGAAGGACTTTTAGGACTTAACGATACCTTGTTCACATCACCGCACTGTACCGGCGTACTCACTATAGGAGTACCAGTGTGCTTGTGAGACGGACGCTTTCGTGTCACTGATGAAGGTGACTTCTGACATTAGTCCGTGGAGTCAAGATTGCTCGATAAAAAGCACTATAAGCTTCTGCATTCATCGAATTGAAAGTTTAGTTCATGTTTTAATTTGTTGCCCGCACAGGAACAGAAAGGCTTTAAACACGCTGGCTTGATTAAACTAATATCGTTCATCAATATCAGTGTTTCAGAGTTCAACACCTCCCTCCCCTGGTTCTGGCAAATTTTAAAGTTGTAGAAAGAGTCGCCTGGAGAACAGCCTTTATTCGTCAAATCCGTCAGTGCTACGATGAAGATGATTTATATTAATAATAATTTTTACTGCAAATTCATTTGTACAAGAATAATACTATACTTGGTTGCGGTCAGAAAGGCGCTAATACTTTCAAGCGTGCTCCTTACATTGCAAATTAATTTTATGCAATTCTTGAGCTGCAACAATTTTCCAAGGTTAACTGGCAATCCTCATAGGCTAATTTGTGAAGTATTTTTTAACAATTTCTATCACACTAGCAAATACCAGGAATAAAGATAAAATTTTAACATTAAATGCCTAAAGGCTGGAAGAATACAAATAAAACAAGAAAATGCACAATAACATTGGCCATTTTAATTTTAGCTGCAAAAATTTCGCCAAATTTAACATGCTGTAATAAGGTTGTTACTTCTTTCACATATTTTGTCAATTTAGAAATACGGGACTAAGTTAAAACATTGTCTTCGAAAAATTTATCACTTACCAATTACCGAAATAAGGTTAAGAAACAAATAAAATTAAAATTATATAACTATTCATGCTTTTAATTCGATTAGAATTGAATGTGAATAATTCAATATATAAAGCAACGAATATGATTAACATGTTGCAGAAGTTCTATCTCTGTGAAGGCGTTGAAATTTTACTCCACTCACTTGCTTGCGTGACGATCACTCGTCGATAGTCTTACTTGTGTATGCATCGAAACTGGGCGGAAGCAATCTGGAAAATCTGGTGAAGTTGAAGTGAACATTATAATGGTCCATGGAGCTGAATTACATTCAAAGTTATATTATTTTACTTCATCGCCATGTTCAAAACATAACAAGTTTGCGGGAATCCTTTCAATGACAGGATTCTTCTATTTAACATGCAGGTCGCGAAATCGATTCGTAATGTGCAGTAATTTCGTCTTGCAAGAACGAATACAATGGCAATAAAATGATTCAAAATTAACATTACAGTCGTAGATGTGGGTTCTGAAAATAAATTTGAGCATATTGTCGAGTCTTTAAAATTGATCACATTTTTTCTTTTTACAATGCATAACTCGACAGTTCAATTAGATTCATGTATGTATAAATTTGAGTTTGAATTACACGTACAGCTGCACTATAAGATGTCAAAATTAATTCGAGTGAAGCATAGTTACACACCCGTCAGTATATGCAGACTCCTGGTCAGCACTTATAAGTATTATTTTTTACTACTCAATCTGCTTTGAACGTCTGATCAATTACTTGTTGAAGTTGTTCACGTTATCATAAATCTGTAGTAATGACGTGCTCTGATTAATTTTCGAAATGGCGCGTGACTTTAGTGCCGTGTACAAAATCCATATGTATTCAAAGTAGTAGATACTTCATTCAACTTACTGACAATAAAATATTTCCATTCAGTGATGTGTGAATTATTGCAAGATGAAAATCAAATGTTCGTATTGTTTCTATATGTATTTGATTGCAAATGTAATCCGCTTAGAAATTTCATTGCTCACCGAAACTTAGAAAAAGACTAAGATGAATGTTTAAGAAAGCTCTGATTGTGTTGATCGATTTTTTATTCTTTTGCATTCAAGCCAACAGTGTTCTTAATAAAATGTCTGTACCACTGATCCAGAAGTTTCTGTCTGGCCGAACTATTTATCGCGGACTTTCATTTAAGCAGCACGCGAGTCCAAATGTATTGACTGGTTAACTCGTCAAACTGGCATTTCATCGGAGAGTGAGATTAAAACTAGAGTCTCAAGTTTTGACTTCTGATCGAGACTTTCATGAACTCGTGCTTAACACCGCACAATAATCTATCAAAGCACACCTTCCGAATTTCCTACTTCTGTAAATTCTAAATTAAAATATTAATGAACAAATTTAAAATAACGAATTAAATTCATATAAAAATTTTTGGACGACATGTTTTAGCTTCTGCAAATCGCTGACCACTGTTGGTTTACGTTATGCATTTCAAGAGTTTTTACTTAACTGCATTGTTAGCATTGGTTATATTTATTGGCTGATATATACTAGTATATCAAAATAAAGTCACTCAAATAATATTGATCATTGTCAAGTGAAAAATCGAATCAGTGCAATTGTGCCCGAAAAACACATGAGTCCAGTTTTAAGGAAAAAATAAATATTTAAGCCAAATGCTGGCACGTTTTAAGGCCTTGGATTAATTACCAAATGGCCAAGCAGAAGCCAGTGAAGAATTATCAACCGTGAAATGCCATAGAGAATGGATCAAGCTAGCTAGAGTGAGCTTATGGTATGAATTTACTTGTATAATTATATTCCATATTTTTTATTTGAAGGCACAAAAATAAGATGACGATATTCGCCTTGACATGACAGAAATACTGAAGCAATCAACACTGGCTGGGCGACTGATGTGCAGAAGACGATATCGGTCTTACGCCCGTCCAATTAGTTTAGCCTTATAATTATCCGGGCCACCATAACCAAATTAAACCTGAAGGCTAATTTTGAAATAATGGATCAATATATCATTATAAATATATTATTATTATATATATATATATCATTATGAAGAGAAAAATTATCTATAATAAATCACTCTTTACATGCCAGCTATAAATGCCTATGGTGTGTGCCAAAATGGGCGCACATAACACGGAGATGTTGTGGTTTCGATCCAACAAAACGGCGACATTCAAAATATCAGACAAAATTAGCCCTAAGGCAAGCTCCGTAGTTTATTTAATTCTACAACTAAGCAATTCCGAAAACAATACTTACGATGGGCCGGACCAAGAGGCATTAATAGTTGTTTGGATGATAAGAAAGGACCATATCTCATGCACAGTTTTAGTGTTCTGCAGGAAGACGTTATACACTGGTACAACAGTCAGTACAAAGTAGGGAAGAAAATCCGCAGCATTAATGCCACCACATTCAAAGTATAAGCTGTCAAAAACAATCAGTGCTGTTCGTAAAGCTTCATCACATACGCCGCGTTCACATGTGATAATTTGCCTGTAGTATTCATGTATACCGTGTATCTGAAGAAAGGCGTTATGTATGTTAACATTTTTGTTTAGGGATGAAAAAACGTATTCAGTTTCCTTTTGAGCATAAAAATAGTACTTGTCTTTGTTTATTAGGTGATTTGGAACATCGAGTAATGTAGGAACATCGAGTAATTTTTTTCGATGTTCCTACGTATTTACAAAATGTCGTAAGCGAAACTAGGGGAACTCAGGTTCAGTTCGAATTCTCAAAATATTCCGATTTATATTCACTACACCTAAATATTCAGTACATCTAAACGAAATATAATTGGTCTCGGGGTGGAATGTCAGTTAAAATGTTAGGGACATCAAACTGGTTGGCATGGCTTCATTGGATCGATCAGTACATGCGAGGAATGCATGATCGCATTGCCATGTCTACGGAGACGTTGTCCGTCTTCAATGATATTCGTATTTAAAGGCCTTAATTGTATACATGGAGTTATTGTCGTTCTAATTGCTAACTCCAAATAATGCTGACCATTGTGCCAACAAATGTTTCGGTCGTTCTGAGCATCATTACGCTCAAATTAAGCAGGATCCTAATTCAGTTAACGTTTGAAATTGATCATTCGTGTACAATTTAGACAGCGGCATCTGGAGTACACATGGATATGAAACGGAGTTTTAAATGTTCAAAAAAAATTGCAGTGACCTTCAATGCCTTTTCCCTTAAAGATGTTCGATGACAGTAACTGCATTCGGACTTGTACGGGCACTGATTCTATAAATTAGTTCTACCGTGGTTTGCGGCATCGTAGCTCTGAAGCCGAGATTAGCTGTGCAGCTTTATGTTAATTAAGCGTTGGCTCTTGAGCTAGATTAGGAGTTTTATTTGAGGCCAACAGTTGCGCTTCTTTCGATTTCGAGGTGAAAGGTGAAATGTTAAGAGGTGCCTTTCGGAGGCTAGATTTGTACGGAAGTAACTTTAATTATCTCCTTGGCTGTGATATTATACGCTGCAGCCTCGGAGTAATTTCATTTTGGTTCTGGCTCAATATTAAAGAAGTTTCTGACGTGTTAAATAATCTACGAGCCACTTTATTACGAATTATCGAGATCTTGCTAACTTAGTCGATTTGGGCTAGTCATTTCTTTATTATCTTGCATATCTTGTGTAATTGCGCAACATGCCATAGTAGGTTACTATTCGAGACATGTGATATTACTTTGAAATTTGAAGTTCTCTTGATCATTCTAATAATGAATTAAAATATACTTATCAAAGCACGTATTTAAATTTTAAATTTATTTTTTTGTCACTTCACAGTATGAAGTCTGCAGCGGAAGCGTTACGTGTCAACGGGTGCAAGCGCGACTGTGTACTCGAAATGCTGCTGTGCAGTGTTTTGTTAATTTAGATTAGCCTGGGAAATGAGATGTCGTTCAAATCTAGGGCCGCTATAATTGAGAACATCAAATATAATTGTGTAAATTGTTTAACTGAGTTAAGAGGCACGTCTTATGGGTTCATTTCAGTAAACTCGCATTTCAGTGATTTAAGTATTGGAGAATCTCCCCTAAATTTCTAATTTCTCCATTTTCTGCTGGATTCAAGGATTCATCCTGATGATTTCTAATAAAATACGAGTAAGGCAAGGACTACTACACACAGGACATGCATAGCCTATGTCCAGCCTCTGCC